GCAATCACATTAGAGTAGAGTAGAGAATGGACATCCTTAATAGGATTTGCTGTCTGTCACTGCTGCATGCTCTTTTCAGACGGACTCAAATAATAATAATGTATTCGATTGTCAGACTCTGTGGGTCACAAAGCCTTTCATTTGAGAATCTTAAAACTGTTGATGTACTTTAAACCTCAACTCCAGCATGTGAGGGATATTGATCATCAAGTGTTTTCCCACCCCACCTAGCCCTGCCACTGTCCCAGCATAGAAGACACTGGCCAAGATAGAAATGCTGGATCAGAGCTGGGTGGGAGATGGTTTCCCCACTCAATTGGGACAGGAAGTAAATTTCAAAAAAACATCCACAAACAGAAAACCTGAAGAAAAAAAAATCAGTTCTGGTCAATCAAAATGTTTTTTATTGATCATTTTGAAACTGTTTCAATGTTTTACTTTTAGTTTAATTTTTTAAACTAAAAAAAATAAAAAAAAAAGTTCTAAATTTAAAATCATTTCGAACCAAAAAGTCAAAACCTTTAATTCCAAGAGAATCAAAAATGAGATGTTTTGACATTTTCAATACTCTTCTTTTTTTTTTTTTTGGACAATTTGTTGAAATTGACACATTCCTGGGGGGTGGGGGTTCAGTTTTGAATAATCTGCCTTTACCAGGGGAAAAACCTTTTGTCAAAAAATTCCTGACCAGCTCTGCACTAGAGTCTGACATGTTAAAGTAAGACTTTCCAGGAGTGAAGTTGTCACATTTTGGGGTTCAACCCAGACCAGAGAGATGTTATATCACCACTTGTGCTGTAACCCCGAGTGCCTTAAAAGGCACTGCTGGTGTAGCTCCTTTTCTGGACACCCCCAGCTTGCATGCAGTGTGTGTTGAACAGCCCTGGTTCTGCAGGGCTCTACCGGCTTGCTCTTTACACTACAGCTGGTCTCCACCAGCTTTGCTTACTACTAGCCAAGTGACACCAAATATACCCTCAGTCCTGAAGTTCCCCAAAATCATCTGTCCTGAAATGTCCAGCCCTTTCCTGGAACATTCAGAGTAATAAGGTTCCATTGCTCCTTTAAAGAGACAAAGCAAAGCAGCTTAGTTGCTTTAATTGGAGTTAATAATCACTTCAAGCCCTACGCAGTACTGGGTTGGACTTGAAGTGTCCAAGTAAAAAGAGAGAGGTTTCAAGTGAGTTCAAGTATAAGGGATTCAGAAACAATTAGAAGTGTGAAATGCTTTCTAGTGACTAAGACTTACCAAAACTATAGTCTTGGTTCAAGGTAAGATTCTTACTACACCTCCTTCCATCAAGAAGGCTAATTGCCCCTTGGTCAGGTTCTCCCCCAGAGTCCAAAATGCTCAATTCTTTTGTCATCTTAGGTGAAAGATCGTTTGGGGTTCTTTGCCCCTCTCTTTTATAGTCCAGTGAACTTCTGAAATGCATCCTTCTCAAAGTTTAGGGCCCCCGCTGTGAGGAATGGTACCATGAAGTCTGATGGACAAGGTTCCATGCCGGTTTCTTCCCCAGTAGTGCTTTTCTACAATCCAAGTTGATCTCTTCCCTGCAATCTCCAGTATGCCAATGAATGGCCATTTGACTGATTGCCAATTGTCTGTGATTGCACCTGGGTGGAGGCATTGGCCTTTCCTTTGTCTGAAAAAAAAAAAAAAAAAACACGGTTTACCTACTCCTCAGACTTGCCTGGTTCAAACATTTTAGTCTCATATGTCCTTCACATTTGTACAGTCCTTTGGGTGTTTACCATACATACACCATGCAAGAATATTAGTGATAAGTGTTATTGGTCTTCCAGTGATACCTTACATGCCACTGATTAGCTACAGATTATGACATCAGTGAATTGGGGTACATTGAACTGATCAGGCCAGATGAAATTCTGATTCCAGTGAACCCCTTTCCCTCTAGCATTGGGATGGTCTTAGGGTCACAACAGACCAGTGTTCGCAGCAGGCTTCTGAGAACCCACATGCCTTAGTTCTAATCCAAGCCAATGACTCACTGTACAACTCTGCACTTTAGTCCTATGGGTTACTGGGAGAGGGGGTGTGTACACTCCCTATACCCTGTAAAATGGGGAGCCACACAGAGGAGCTGTAAATTAGTCATGCAATCTAAGACACTAACAAAGTCAGGCAGGGAGGCGAGGAGAAAAGCTACTCATTTTTAAACATTTGGGCTGATTTTTCCCTCCACTTTCTACAATGGTGTTTAACCCGGCTTTTGGGTGTACAATGGCAAATAGGGGGCAGTTTTATACACTGGCTTCAAAGTCATTCAGGTCCTCAAAGAATTTTAGTTTGGATCTTAATATTTACTCTGGGCAATTATTCCTGGTCTTCTTTTACACATTGATTCTACAAACAAGAACATTACTATTAGGATGACACCAAAGCATGCATAATATGGAACTTAAGAAATGAAAGGAGCACGTCGAGCAGCAAACAAAATTTGCTGGATATTAATGTATTTGTCGGTGTTGCTGATGTGTACAGGATGATTTTTGAACCTTCCAACTCCACACACAAAGCACATCCAAACTGAACATCTATAACTCATCTTTGTTGTGGTGCCAGATAAGCATTTGTCATTTTATTTTTCTGTTCTTAACAAGTCAGGACATTAATTGTAATGTAATATTGTCATCATGCTTTTCAGTATGAACAAAATGTATTATATGGAGCTTTAAAAAAGCTTGCATCCCAATCATTGGTAAACTAAGGGGCTATTTTGTTATGTCTTGCTAACCCTGGCAAGCCTTTTTAAATGTGGTAACTGTTTTGTTTCCAAAGCCAGGTCCTGTCTCTGTGTTAATTCACACTCAGGAAAGGTGCTGGATTGACAGCTCTACAGATTAATAGCCTGTCTAACCACAGAACAAATAGAACCCAGGCAATGGAAGTGAAGATGTGTGCACACACACAGGCACATGTAGCTTCTCTCTGACCTGGAGGATTAGACCTAAAAGCAAGAGGTTAAATTAGGCTTCTAGGCATTTTAAGTCCTTAGCCACCTTGAAGAGCAGCAATAACTGTTGAGGCCATTTTTGTGGCCTTTAGGACCTGGACTGGAACTAAAAACTTCATTCATATAGGCCACTGAAAAGCCATCATATGGGAGAAAGTCACTCCCCACTAACCTGCAATAGATGTAATGTGCAAATCATAGTTGGGATACAAATTCTTGTGAAGTGCTCATAAGGCTTAGTGAATACAAACACAATAGCACCAAAACATCACATAGCAACATCAGCTCCAGCAAGCCAGCCAGTTTGAGGCAGCTGTATTTGGGTTCTGCTAACCCAGAAAAGAAATTAAAGATATAATCGGAGATAAACAACAGCTTCTCACTTGACTTTCTTCCAGGCTCCTCCTGTTTGTAGATTAATACAACTGAGAGTTTAAAAGGAAAATGTCAGCTTGAGATCTAGTCAATTTCAAAAATGAGTTCAGGGTAGTTTCAGATACTCCACCTGCCTGTATTCTCCTGCCAATTTTTGTACTTTTAAAAGAAATGGAAAATGTAATTGCAAATGTTCTTTACATGGCAACGGGGAGAAATCAGGGGACACTGACAAGTATTTAGGATAATTGGCTTAAGTTCTCATAAGAAACATTCTCCTTCTGTTAATCCAAAGCATTTGCAATTGGTTTTGACATAAGAACGTAAGAATGGCCATATTGGTCAGACCAAAGGTCCATCTAGCCCAGTAGTCTTGTCTTCTGACAGTGGCCAGTAACAGGTGCTTCAAAGGGAATGAACAAAACAGGTAATCATCAAGTGATCCATTCCCTGTTGCCTATTCCCAGCTTCTGGCAAACAGAGGCTAAGGACACCATCCCTGCCCATCTTGGCTAACAGCCATTGATGGACCTATCCTCCATGAATTTAGCTAGTTATTTTTTGAACCCTGTTATTGTCTTGGCTTTCACAACATCCAAAACAGAAAGCAACCTTGGTAGTTAAAAGTCTTCATGTATTGATGGCATGAGGATGCCTGAAACCATGTCTGAAGAATCCTAGGAAGACCACCAAAGAATGGAAAAGATACTGGTTGAGATTTTTCAAAGCAGATGTGTGTACACATCCTAGACTACTTTGAAAATCTCAACAGCGGTTTATAGTGACTGAACCAACACCAGTCTACATATCCTATAACCCACCAGGTGCTGGTTTGTTGGGCTAGGTGATTCACCTAAAATAGATTTATTCTGACCCAACCTTTGCATTGTTGAAGTTATTTATATCCTGTGATAGAAAATTCTGCTGCAACTCAAGCAGCACCCTTGCTGTGATGGTGGGGGACACTCAGATACTTGAAGGCCTTTTATTTGCAAGAGCATGCATTGAAAATGTAAGCTACCAGTCTAAATGGCAAGTGGTGTAACATGGGCAGAAACAGCCCAGATTACATGGTTGTTCATGCCAGGAATTTCTGTTCTCCTTTAAAGTTGGAGTTTGATGTTTTTAACCTAGTTTTTAAATTTGAATTCAAGGGAAGGTAAGTCACTTTTAACCCTATAAAACCTGAGCCCTTTATAATAACTCGTCACCCATCTGTAGATAAATGGACCTGAAGCCTAATCCTACAAGGTGGTCAACTGCCAATGAAGCCAAAAGACATTTGAAGACACTCTGCATTTTGCAAGACTAGACATTAAAAAAACTTCATACCCTTAGCTAAGTGCAAAGGCCTTAAAGTGTATCCTTGCTCCAGTTAAGTAAAAATATTGTTTAAAGAATATCACATCAGGATTGCAAGCACTAACCTATAGGGATCTTCTTGAGAGCTTTGTAAATGAAGACTGTTAAAAGTCTTTCAAAGTTGCAGTAGCAAAATCTTCCAGACCAGTTAGCCTAATGACAAGCATCCTTATCAGGAATCACAAATGAAAGATTATCAATCCTCTCTCTGAAGGATACTAAGATGCATTTACAGAATGGCTCTGCACAAATGAAGGGTTTTTTAAAAGTGTTTTATTTGCTCATTTGGAATCATTAGTATTTATAATCAACCATGTAAAACTGTCCCTTACTGAAACACTTAACGGCTTATCTGCTATCGCCAAGTGCATTACAGTCCATTCAAAGGGAAAGAATTACAGATGTATAAGATGACTACACAACAAAACTTCAGTAAACATAGTATTCACAATAATCTAAAACATTTTAAATCCCTTAACTTTAATTTTATAAGTTAACATAAAAACTATACTCCCAACAATGTACAACACATTTAGTCCATAATGCAAAAACAGTAAAATTGGTTAATTAACTAGTGCAAAAATGTAAAAACTGTATTCTTTGGAATAATTGCATCATCAGTGCTGTTCCATCACCCACGCATATACACCCTGCAGCTAATAGAGTTAGCTAGAATTGCTGCAGAAATATCCCATTACGAACAGATATCTAGTTCTGCCAAATTTAAATTTCTCTTGTAACTTGTTCATTTACAGACATTCCTCAAATAGGTGTCAAACTTTAGGGACCCACAAGTGGCCTGACTTTGGGAAGTGCTGAACATCTGCAGCTCCCACTGACATCCCTCTGGAAATCAGACCACTTATTTAGGTATCTAAATATAAAGTTAGGCACCTAAATCTAGGCCACCCCAGTCTGAATATTGGCCTAGAAATTCTCTCTCATTTATCAAATAAAAACTAACTTGCTTACTGCCCATGACAATAGTTAAAAATCACTTTAAAATTTATTGTTTTCAAGGTTAACTGAATGTATGAGACTATGTATAAAGGCTTTTGCTAATAGTCACAAGATGCGTCAGTAATTGCTTAGGAAAATAATTGCTAGAGTGGGATGTAAGGATGGAATTCTGAGATATCTTTCTCCAAAAGCTATTTGAAAAATGCTCTGCATTATCCCGTTATCTTCAAACTGCAAAATACCTGTAATTACATTATACCTGTCTTAAGCGACCATTCAGAACAACCAGTTGCTTAAGAATTAGTCTTCTAATAAAAGTGGATCAGAACTGTGCTCAGTATGTTTAGAGATACTTTGGGGCAGTCTCTTAAGACAGAAGATTGCCTAATAAATATGTCCTTATCCAGGTTTCAAGTGTGTTATCAACTCTGGAGTTAGATTCTTGTCTCACTGGATTTCCTGAATTAAAACAGTGAAATTTGGTAAGCATTAATCAATTAGGAGGTATGGAAAGTTTTCCCTTCTAGTATGTCATCTTGTCATGCATCTCGTTGAACTACCAAGTTATTATTTCCAAACTGAGCCGAGCAGAACACGAACAAACAAAGGAAGAAAAATGCAGGAGTCTACAGAACCTAGAGTAGCAATATATGAGAGTCTCGCTCTGTACTTCAAGACTCACTTATACATTCAAGAATAAATTAACTCTGCAGCTGTTGCAGTGACTTGGAAAGCCAAGGAATGACAGCAAAATGGAGAGGGTTTTTTCCCCCTGAGGATTTATAGCATATAATTATACTTAATTTATTCTCTGTTTTAGGATAGAGTCCCGTATCATAAGTGGAAGATGCTTGACAAACCTTTTAGGAAAAGAAGCACATTTTTCACATATTAGCTACTTCGGAGTCCTGCCCTGACATAAATGGAAAAGTTTACAGTTGTCAACATCCAGTGAAAGATAATTTCTGCATCTCAGAATGGGGTCTTTACTTATCAGAGACCATTGAGTAGCTGAGTGACAGCTGTCTTGGGTGTAAACTCAAGAGGAAATCTGCTCATCTGTACTTCAAGAGCTCATGACCATATTATCTAAGCACCTCACCAAATTAAGAGACCCATCTTTCCCCTCCCTCCTGGAAAAGCAACCAAGATAGTGCACAGAAAGGAGTGGGGATATCAACAGCTGATTGTATTACAATAGCTCATTTGCTACTTTGTCATTAATGACAGAGGTAGTTTAAACATAAGGCACTTCCTAAATGGCCAAATCAACCATAAGCTGTGTTTGTACTCCAATGTACAGATTACAGCCTCAAAATATATATGTCTAAAGGCTGGTATTGCAGGTCTCATTTACAACTGGGAGAAGTAATTCAAATGCACTTGCAGTTGTGTATTCCCTAGCCTCAGACTATGGCAAACATCTTTCTATTGTAACAGAATTAAGCACTTTGTTGAAAGGGGAATTTGGGAACAGTAAACGTGACCCTTTAGGAATATGTTCACTAAATTTAGATGTTTAATTCTTAGTTGGAGGGTGAAAGGAAAACACCAGAGCCAGGTAAGTGTTAAAACTGAAGCTTCTGAGGTCCTCTACATACTGCACGTTAATTTCTTCAAATGGCTCACAAGTGAACTGGGGCATATTCAAGAGAGTTTCAATCCATGGCTCCTGTTTGCCATCTCTAACTTAAACAAAAACTTATCTCTGAAAATTAAAGGGCAAAATCCCAGAGCATCCTTTCGATTAAGTCACAGGCATGTGTAACACATACCTACTCAAGTACATTTCTAACAAACAGTAATAAATAAGGGTGGAATTTAGAACGCTGGCCAACAAATCAACCACAAAATAGTATTTACAAGTTATCTCCAAAGTTTGAACTGGCTCCGATTCAAAGTAGTAATAAAACAACTGGCTTGTCTTAGTATGCCAGCAACCTCAACTGGCCTCAACGTGAAAATTGTCAAACTGTGCGAATTCAAAGGAGCGTGTTCCAATAGCCGCCCAGCCATGGCTTGTCTCAGATAAGGTGACGTTCTCCCAGAGAGGATAACCATTGAGCAATCCTGAGGCAGAAGAACCCTGTCCAAAGAAAGGGAAGAAAGTTTAACAAATCCAGTTATCAGTTTAACACACTAGACCTGTCATTAGGGGTTGACTTTCCCTATCTCATCTACAAGATGTTGGAGGCACTTGTGAAAACATTAGCCCTTTATAGTGCTTCAAGTGCAGTTCTCTACTGAATAGCAGCTAAAATACTGCATCATAGTGTTATGTTTATCAGCTCAGTTAACTCCAAATCAAATACATTTATAGTTTGCATGTAGAGATGTATTTCCCCTACGCTCCAACCTTGCGAAATCAACCTAGAATTTGAGAGTTAAACTGGGTTTTCCTCTTACTTCTGGTGATGTAAGAGTTCCGCTAGGCAAAATCTGCCATTAGACTGCCCTGAGCAACCCCTATTGTCGTCAGTGGATTTGCATGGATGGAACTAACTGAAATGCCAGACACAAGGAGGAATAGAATCCAGCTCACTCTCTCAGAGCTGTGTTAGCTCTCCAAGGTTAACAGGAATCAAAAGCTCCGTTCCTTAAGTGTAGTTAGAACTGTATGCACTCATGATAGTAATTAAAATACATTTTTACTGCTTTTGATTATGATGGTGCCATTAATACAAAGTAACTTTCAGTGTAAACATTTTAAGTAGCAATATTACTATCTTCCACTAGATAGCAGTAACAAACAAAAATACGCACCAAATATCAGAGTTTATATTACACTTTCTAAGGCAGGGGTAGGCAGCCTATGTCATGGGTGCCAAAGGTGGCATGCGAGCTGATTTTCAGTGGCACTCAGACTCCCTGGGTCCTGGCCACTAGTCCCGGGGGGGCTCTTCATTTTAATTTAATTTTAAATGAAGCTTCTTAAACATTTTAAAAACCTTATTTACTTTACATACAAAAATAGTTTAGTTATATATTATAGACTTATAGAAAGAGCCCTTCTACAAACGTTAAAATGTATTACTGGCACGTGAAACCTTAAATTAGAGTGAATAAATGAAGACTCGGCACACCACTTCTGAAAGGCTGCCGACCCCTGGTCTAAGGGCTGCTATAACCGAAGGCAAGAGCTGCAGAGGGATCACTGAACAGAAGGAAAGAGTGGTCCAGCAGGGATTATCCTCTTTGGCCACTATTAGAACTCTTTAGAAGGAGCTCCATTTTTTCTACCATCACATCAACTAGGAGGTTGCCTGGAAATATTTATCAATTACAGGAACATGTCCTAGAGGTAGTTCCAAAATGACACTGACAACCTTCTCTCTACCACCCCTATATCTGTGTACCTCACAAATAGCACTTTTTTACCCTCAACATCCCTGTGAGGTAGGTGTCATTATCCCCATTTTACAGACGTGGACTGGGGCATGAAGATTAAGAATCTTCTCTGAAGTCACACAGTCTGTGGATGAGTGGAAACTGAACCCAAATCACTCCAGTCCCAGTTCAGAGCCTTAACCCCAAGATAATCCCTTCTTCTCCAACTCTAAAAAAATTAAGATGAACCAAGAACACCCACAAAGCAATGTGCCAGTCTTACAGCAAACATGCTGGAATGTGGGCAACTAGGGGCATAGACTTAGTATGCAATTTAAAAAAAGGTTTATCTCAATTCAAGCCTGTGCTTAACTGGTCTCAGACCAGGTGTGATGGCAAAGTTTACACAAGGGCAGGAAATCTGGTTTTAGAAGTTCCACAGAAAAGCATGTGACATCTGCTTTTTTAGTTACATGAGTCAACACCACACAAAGCTGGCTAGATATGAATATTTAAGGAGTTGCTGACAGTGGTCCTGGAGGTGATGGAGAAGTGCTGCCAAATTATGGCTAGAGACGGTATGCTATGTAAAATGGTAACATTCTTAGTAGCGATGCAGAAAAAGACAACATATTTAAATAAATATTTCTGCTCCAAACCCAAAAAGAAATGTGACTTTATTTTATGAGGAGGAGAATGTACTTTCCAGTCTATTTGTAACCGAGGAGGATGTTGGACAATATCCACTAAGGATAAACATTTTAAAAATCAGCAGGCCTGCATAATTAGCCCAAAAGTCCTAAGAGAGATCTCTGACCCACTGACGTTAAATTTGTTTAAGTCATGGCAAAGTAGGGAGATTCCACAGGAATGTGAAAGTGCTAATGTTGTGCCAATATTCAACAACTTTCCAGGTTCACTCTCAGGCTCCTTCTCAGCAATTACTTCCCTCTCCCTCAGCTCCTCCATTACTCCTGACTTCCCCAAGCCTTTGCACTGCTTCCAGGGGTGCAGGAAATACATCTCTGTATTGTATTTTAAATGAATTACTACTCAAAGTTCTGTATTAACTTGCCTAGTAAAGAATCCATTCACCAAAAAACATTTCTGACTCTCTTTTGTTATCTGTATTGTTAGACACACTTGCTGACAGGTAATTTGAAATAAATTACCAAAATAATTGAAACTGGCATGATTATTTTGTGGTATTTTGACAAAATAAAATATGAAGAATTTTGCAAAATTTTAAAATAAGCAGGAGTAAAAGCAGCAGGGCCCACCATAACAGGTAGCACTGTAGATCTGCACCCCGGTTTGCCACACACTAATTTACCATATACACATGATCTGAGAGGTAACTTGATCGCAGTGGATAAGTACCTTCACCGGAAGAATACACTAACTACTAAAGGGCTCATCAATTGAGTGGGCAAAGGCATATAAGAACCACTGGCAGGAAGCTGAAGCCAGACAAATTCACATTAGGCAGAATTTTTAAAAAACAACAAAAACCAGGGTGATTAGCCATTAGAACAAACTACCAAGGGAAGTGGTGGACTCTGCATCTGTTGATGTCTTCAAGTCAAGTCTAGATGCCTCTCTGTAAAATATACTTTAGTCAAACACAAGTTATTGGGTTCGATACAGGGGTACTGGGTGAAATATAAAGGCCTGTGGTATACAGCAGGGCAGACTACATCTCTGTACCTAGTGGAATGCGGTATCACCAAAAAGCAAAACAAAGTTACTTTAACTCCACTAGGACTTTATGCAAAGCACAGTCTAGGGGGTGTTACAGCTCATTCCTGGGAACTAAAAACTGCAGCGTTTAATCCCAATGTTCCAACATCTCCCTCTGTGGTATTGCACTGATCATTTCACCATTTAAGTCCTAGGCAGACTGTGAAGATCTAAAAAGGATCTCACAAAACTGGGTGACTGGGCAACAAAATGGCAGATGAAATTTAATGTTGATAAATGCAAAATACACCTCTACCTCGATAGAACGCTGTCCTCGGGAGCCAAAACATCTTACCGCGTTATAGGTGAAACCGCGTTATATTGAACTTGCTTTGATCCACCGGAGTGCACAGCCCCACCCCCCCAGAGCACTGCTTTACCGCGTTATATCCGAATTCGTGTTATATCGGGTCATGTTATATCGAGGTAGAGATGTAATGCACATTGGAAAACATAATCCTAACTATACATATACAATGATGGGGTCTAAATTAGCTGTTACCACTCAAGAAAAAGATCTTGGAGTCATTGTGGATAGTTCTCTGAAATCATCCACTCAATGTGCAGCAGCAGTCAAAAAAGCGAACAGAATGTTGGGAATCATCAAGAAAGGGAAAGATAAGACAGAAAATATCATATTGCCTCTATATAAATCCATGATACACCCACACCTTGAATACTGCGTGCAGATATGGTCGCCCCATCTCAAAAAAGATATATTGGAATTGGAAAAGGTTCAGAAAAGGAAAACAAAATGATTAGGGGTATAGAACGGCTTCCGTATGAGGAGAGATTAATAAGACTGGGACTTTTCAGCTTGGAAAAGAGGTGACTAAGGGGGGATATGATAGAGGTCTATAAAATCCCTAGTGGTATAGAGAAAGTAAATAAGGAAGTGTTATTTACTCCTTCTCATAATACAAGAACAAGGGGCCACCAAATGAAATTAATAGGTAGCAGGTTTAAAACAAACACAAGAAAGTATTTTTTCACGTAACGCACTGTCAACCTCTGGAACTCCTTGCCAGAGGGTTTTGAGAAGGCCAATACTATAACGGGGTTCAAAAGGGAGCTAGATAGATTCATGGAAGATAGGTCCATCAATGGCTATTAACCAGGATGGGCAGGAATGGTGTCCCTAGCCTCTGTTTGCCAGAAGCTGGGACTGGGTGACAGGGCATGGATCACTTGATGATAATCTGTCTGTTCATTCCCTTTGGGGCACCTGCCATTGACCACTGTCAGAGGACAGGATACCGGGCTTGATGGACCTTTGGTGAACATAAGAACGGCCACACTGGGTCAGACCAATCTGTGCCTCAACCTTGTACAAAACAGGATTAACACTTCACTAGGGTGTTGTGAGGATTCATGTTTGTAAAGCTCTTTGAAGATGTAATACATGAAGTATTATCATTACTTTGACTATTACTAACTGATGCAATCACCAATTGCTACTGCACAGTCAATATCCCAGGGTGCCCGTGTGCTGTATTTTAAGGTGATCTATGTAAAGAATATTTTGGTTAATTCTTGTGGCTTTCGATTTGCATCCTTACCTTGAGATTCAGAGTGAGTGTGTGCCATACTCTGGCTCGCACACCAGACATTCCTTTCATCAGGACTTCCTCTCCAGCTGAAACACATACACGATATTAGTGGATAACAAACAATTCCAAATCCCATAGGCATAATAGGGACCTTCCTTTTCTTGGCTTGATATTTAGCACCTGATTTTCAGAGGTGTTGAGAACCTGCAACTTCTACTCAAGTGTGGAGTGAGGAGAGACTCCAAATCCCTGAAAAAAAAAGTCAGGCCCTTAGCAGAACAACCAAGTCATCCTATTAGGCTAGCCAGACCATTTGTCCTTCCATTGTTTCATCCAAAATAACAATAGCAAGTGTCGGCAACAGAGCAGTTGTCTCTGTTGACTTTAAGTCAGTTGAGTTAACCCAGGATATGGACCCTTTCACTGGTAGGATTTTGACCCAGGTTAATAGTAAAGTTAAAAAAAAAGTTCTGTCAGCAATATGGTCATTCCACTGAAGTAAGAGAGCAATCTCAGTGCAGTTCTTCGTTTATGTACTAAGTATATGCCAAAATCGGGTTTAATACATTCTTAAACAAAAAACTGTCATACCAGTATGGGTTTAAACTTTTGATTTGATCAGATGAGCAGGTAAGGTATGATCAGAACTTTGATAGGAGACCAGACAGTCAAGTGCTACAGAAAGTAGTGTTAGTGTGCTATCTATTGAATCATCTGTTCAGTTTTGACTCACAGGAAAGAAGGCTAAGTGATAAAATACTCTTTTACTGGAAATATCTTCTAGGTGAGATAAATAAAACTACTTTAATGAATCATAAGTAGACAGGACGTCAGTGATTATTCTCCCCTTGAGTAGGGATGTTAAATCTAATGACCTTGCTAAGTTCCAGTTTGAACCACATTTTGTCTACCAAAATTCTCCTTGTTTCAGCTGTATAATTTCTTCTCAAATCCTATCAAACTGATTGTGTAGTGTTGCTGTATGCTATCTACCTACATTCTCATACCACATCCACCACCCTGGTATCTAAACACGTGCATGGACGTCATCTTGACAAAGGCATCCTACATCAATTAATTTCAATTATTCTAAGCATACAGCACAGACAGACAGTGATAACTATCATCAATAAAAGAAGCCATGTACTTGTCCAGGAGCCTGCAGGCATTATCTGCAAGGATACAACTCATTACAGGACAATGGGTTTATAATGCAAGTGCCATCTATGAAATTAAGCATCCTGCATTTTCTCTAGCTTTTTCGTCAAATCTCCAGTTGGCTTTATTTCAGGTTAGATATAACCAAGTGTCAGCCCTTTAAAAGGGTTTGTGTATTAATAATGAGATACTTACAGAGATCACCAGTGACCCGGTAGGTGCCATCTGCAAACACCCAGAAGAAGAGTCCTTTGCTACATCGAACATATATCCCGCCATTGTTTACTCTTCCTGCAATGAACACACCACCGTTGCCCAGGTGCTCTATGTAGACATCACAAGTTATCGTCACATTTACCCTGAAAGAGAAAGTTAACACTTAAAAAAGAATAAAGAAAGGAGCATAAAGATGCTTCCCTACTATCCTTAAGTCTTCTCTGTATAGCTTGACAGCCATTTCAATGGCACACATTGGAGGAATAAGTATTTTTAATATGAAGAATAAGTCCTGCAATTGCTATCATCAATGGGAGCTGCACAGCTTTGGCAAATTCCACCAAATCTCTCAAACCTTAGTCTAGAGCAGAGGTCTCAAACTCAAATGACCACGAGGGCCACCTGAGGGCTAGTTTATTGGCCCAAGGGCCGCATCACTGACACCACCCCCTCGCTGCCCCCAGCCCTGCCCCCACTCCACCCCTTCCATGAGGCCCCGCCTCTTCCCACCCCTTCCCTGCCCCCATTCCAACCCCTTCCCCGAAGTCCCCACCCCAACTCCGCCCCCTCCCGGCCCCCAGAGGGTGCATGAGGGGTGTGGTGGGGGCTCAGGGCAGGGAGTTGAGGTGCAGTAGGGGTTTGGGGTGCAGGCAAGGGGCACAGGGTGCAGAAGGGGTGTGGGGTGCAGCAGGGGGCTCAGGGCAGGGAGTTGGGGTGCAGGAGGGGTGTGGGATTGGCAGGGGGCTCAGGGCAGGGGGTTGGGGTGTGGGGGGCAGCAGGGGGCTCAGGGCAGGGAGTTGGGGTGCAGGAGGGGTGTGAGATTGGCAGGGGGCTCAGGGCAGGGAGTTGGGGTGCAGGAGGGGTGTGGGATTGGCAGGGGGCTCATGGCAGGGAGTTGGGGTGCAGCAGGCGGTTGGGGTTTAGGCAGGGGGCTCACGGCAGGGGGTTGGGGTGCAGAAGGGGTGTGGGATGCAGCAGGGGGCTCAGGGCAGGGGGTGGGGGGCCGGGGGGGGGGAGGGGGGGGGGGTCCGGGGGGGGGGGTTGGGGGCCGGGGTGCAGGAGGGCTTCGGGCTCCGGGGTGGCAGGCTGCCAGCCCCGGCCCGGGAAGTAGCTGGAACCATGTCCCTGCGGCCCCTGGGGGAGGAGGACGCAGGGCTCCGCACACTGCTTGCCGCTCCTCCTGGTACCTCCCCCGAAACTCCCATTGGCCGCGGTTCCCCGTTCCCGGCCAATGGGAGCTGCAGGGAAGCCAGGGCAACACATGGATGGAGCCCTCTGCTTCTCCCCCCCTCCCCCGGCCGCAGGGATGTGATGCCAGCCGACGCAGGGCTCGAGGGGGGGCAATCCCGTGGGTTTAGTTTGCCCACCCCTGGCCTGGAGGTAGGCCGGGTGGGGCAGGCGCAGGCCGCAGGAAATAGCCCCGTGGGCCACATGTTTGAGACCCCTGGTCTAGAGGAATGGAATCAACCCCAATATTTCAGGTCTTATTGTCACTACAAAAATGAAAGATTAACCTCTATTTCTACAGAGCTTTTCATACAAGCCAAGTATAAGGAGACCAAAGTTCAACTCTCAACAGACTCACTGTATGATCAGGGGTAAATCACATCAACTCCCTGTGTGTCAGTTTCCCTAGCTGTGAAATGGCTATGACACTTACCCAGCTGTGCAAAATATTAAGATTTATGGATAAAAGCACTATGGGAGTTAAGCATTTGACCATTGTGATCACTTAGGGCTGGTCCACACTACCCACCTGATTCGGCGGGTAGAGATTGATCTTCTGGGATCGATTTATCGCGTCTCATCTGGACGCGATAGATCGATCCCAGAAGCGCTCCTCCGTCGACTGCGGAACTCCTGCTCGCCAAGAGGAGGAAACGCTGTCGACGGGGGAGCCTGCCTGCGCCGCGTGGACCCGAAGTAAGTAAATTTAGTTAGATCTAGGAAACGTCGACTTCAGCTACGCTATTCTCGTAGCTGAAGTTGCGTTTCCTAGATCGATCCCCCGCCCCAGTGTGGACCTGCCCTTAGTCTGAGCTGTATAACATAGGCCACAGAACTTCCCCCAAAAATTCCTACAGCATTTCTTTTAGAAAAACATCCTACCTTGATTTAAAGATTGTCAGTGATGGAGAATCCACCATGACGCTTGGTAAATTGTTCAAATGGTTGACTATCAAAAACAACCTTTATTTCTGGTCTGAACTTGTCTAGCTTCAACTTCCAGCTATTGGTTCATGTTATATCTTTTTCCCTGCTAGACTGAAGAGCCCATTATTAAATATTTGTTCCTTATGTAGATACTTACAGACTAATTAAGTCACTCCTTAACCTCTCTCTTTATTAAGCTAAGTAAATTGAGTTCTTTTAGTCTATCACCACAAGGCATGTTTTCAAATCCTTTACTCATTCTTGTGGCTCTTCTCTGAAGGTCTCCAATTTATCAATATCCTTCTTGAATTGTAGGCACCAGAACTGGCCCCAGTATTCCAGGGTGACATCCTGGTGTACTACAAAGCAGTATATTTTTCTGCAGTTATAGTATAAGGATAAGCAGCTTACAGTGTAAATTGCACTACACCTTTACACAGTACCAAGATACTTTCTGGCTCATTAAAAAAAACCCCACAACTCAAACGGTTTGAAAACCCAATATGTTTAAAACCTGAAGTGCCTTAAGATAAATGACATTAACAGAGATAGTGCCTCAAGGCCACACATTCAGCAAACTTCCACTATTCAGAAAGTCTTGTTAGTGTACGCCTCACCCCTCAAGTCAGTTGATAAATACATCTGAAGGAATATCTGTTTTTTTTATCTCCTTCTACTGGAAGATATGTCTGATGCTTGGCTCTTTTGTAACACTGTTAAAGGATGGATAAGTTTCTCAGTTATACAGTTACTCATTAGATACAGGATTCAAAACCAGCACTTATAAATACTTCAGCAAAAAGCCAATAGTACCGAGAAATTGGAAGTGCAAGCCCACAGTACAAAACATCAAGCAGACAGAGACCCTTTTCTCATGTCATCAGTTAGACTGCATGCAAAAAGCAAGGAGGAAACACAGATCTATCCAAAGCTATTGCCACAGACCCTGGATCACAATGGTCCACATGGCCATTAGACCAAATAAAGAATGCTGCTGGGAAGCAGAGCATTAGGAAGCACTCCAGGAACAACAGACAACACAAAAAGAAGTTAGTGACTTGGAAGTAGAACTGAGATAGATCTACTGGTGGCTGTAGCTAAATCCCCCACTCTATGGTCAAGATGAGGTTATGGGCTGATTCAACACTCCACCTCATCATTTCAACAGCAAGGGATGAGGACAGAGAATATCAAAGGACAAGTACCTCAACAAGGCTAAGGCTAGACTTGAACTGGGAATGAAACAAGCAAATCAAAGGGGCACTAATTAGATGCAACAGATATGTAAAAGTAGTGATTATCAGGCAAACATTCAATTGCTCAGACATTCAACACACGAGAATACGAGGTTGCTAATCTGTAAACTCCTTCGTTTTCAGTTTAAAACTTTAAAAAAATCCAGGGTTTTACACACAAAAAAAGCATTATTTTTCCCCCCGAATTTCACTCTACTTTTGTATCATTCAAATATAAAAAATAATTGTTTAATTAGGAAAATACATACATCTCATACAATGTATTGTATTACAATAATACATTAGTCTGTGTGTATATGCAAAGCTGCCTGTTGAAGTAAGGCTGTGTATTAGTCTAGAAGATGCACACAATAAACAAACAGGCATGCACACAAACTCTGAAGTGCGTGCACATCTGAACATACTGACGATGTCTCATGCCCACCATGTACACATTTCAAGCTGTTAGCAGATAATGGTGTAAAGATTTGACTCACTAAAATGAGAAGGCAATGAAAATCTGTATCAAAATGTTTCAGAACACTAGGAAGTACACTGAAGGACTTCACATAAGACAGCGAGGATTTATAAATATTTAAAATATTGGGCCCAATTATTAAATGTAAATATTTATAGGCTGATAGTTCTAAGTCTACAAAAGTATGTTTATTCAAATGAGAAGTTTTATTTGGGGATTAGAGATATATTTTCTTAAACTCAGAGGTGGCATTGTGCTTTGAGTTCTGTTTTAGTTCTGCAGCAAACTACATTGCATTCCACTCAAAACATTAACCTACTGAATATTCCCCCTCCCCATCCTTCTGTTCGCCAAAATGAACCCTGATATTTGCCCAGAAAAATTAATAGTTTTTTGCACCCAATTTTCAGCTGCTTTTGTTGTTGTAGTAACAAACACCAATAAATTCCTGGGAAAAATTAAATAAAATAAAAAATGAAAACAAAGAGTCCTACTAATCTGAGAGGTCAGAACAGTAACGTGGAGGAGGAACATTTTTGACAATACTATGGGATAAACAGATACTGACAAACACAGAGAACTCAAAATGCCCACAATTATTTTCCACACCACCCAACCCTTGCACAACTTTGATTCTGCATCCCCTATTTTCTCTAATTAGTCATCGCATGTAAGCCAACAGACCTCCAACTCAAGTGTAGAGTCTCACTGGAGTCTCCCAGTTTATCAGGTTACTAACGTACTTTGACTAACCTCACTGACGCATCCACAGCCATCTTTACCTAAACTGCAGTATTCCATGTGCTCTATAGATCAAGTCAGTGCAATTTTTGGGACTGGCCAGAAGATGGCACCACAAGACCAATGTAACCAAATGAACTCTTTCAAATTTCTGTAACATCAAACATTTGAATTGACATTACAGATCACAGCCAAGCTTGACCCAAAGCTTTTGCATCTTAAAGTCATCATACACTCTTCCCCATTTGGGCAACAGATTTTAAGTGGAATCATCCAGCATGGTTACAAACACGTGTACAGATATTTGCACTGGAATCACAAAAATCTGACCTCTACCTTAAAATTAGATTTGTGTTTACAAGCTGCCACTAATTTGGCCTAGAATTTTTTCAGCATTCCAAATCAAAATCATTCAATACTTGGCATTCAGAAAGACAGATATGTACACTCAATCTATCCCAGGTGTGGATTAGTCTAGATACAAATTAGCTTTGGAATGAAAATTCAAGACACAAGCTGCCCAGTGAGAGGGCATGGGATGCCACATGCATGGGAATACTGGGTTAAAATTAGTCTTCGAAGGATGAAATTTTTAAAAGTAAATGTCAGTAAACATTGATTTCACCATGCACACACAGGGCAGTGAAAAATATTTCCATTAATAATTGAAATTTACAGATAGGCAAAGAAAAAATGCTACTTGACTTTTTTTTTTTTTTTTAAAAAGAGTTTAAGGATATTTCTTTGTATATTTTGACACGTGCTGTTGACAATTTGTCTTAACAGTTACAAAGCTTTACCTTTTTTAGTCTCACTGTCTATTAATAAATTGTCTGACACCCTCCCAATAAATTTCCTGCAACTTGAAAATTTAAATAGATAAAAAAGTTCTTAAAAATAAACATCGATATTATCCATCAAAACTACAAAAAAAAAAAATCCTAAAAACTGAATTCTGCAAAGCCTAGTTAAAATGGATTCGACATACCATTTAAAGTCTCCTATAATGCTGATGGCCTGGTCTGCATCAGAAGCCCAGGTGATGGGTCGCTGAATCACCACCTGGCGGAGTGTGAAAATGTGGTCCCCTGGATCAGAAGTGTTGACAAAGTACTCGAATATCCCAGTCTGATCAGCAAAATATGGAGCTTCACTAAAGGGCGGATTACCTATTCAAAGAACAACAAATCCAACAATGAGGGTTAGGTTTATTTCTTTTACTCCCACACACGCTTCAGGTTTTCAGAAAGTTCTTTTCAAAAATATTCTCCATATTTATAATTTCTTCCATCGGCACATCTGTGCTTGAGAATCAACAGCAGTGCAAAATTAGAGTGGCTAACTCATACCATACAGTTCTTGCTGGTTCCAATATGGCCTCATTGACTGGGCGTGCTATTAGGCTAGACCCCATGGGCTATAGAATGTCCAAGAGCTTGTATTGCGCATCCTGGACCTCATCTAAGGGGATCTGAAGCTATTCTGCTACTGTCTGAAGTAGTTTTTAGAAATGTTTATGGTCATCTAGACTAGAGGACAAGGCAAGGATGAAGCAATCACCTCATCGAGCAAGGAAGAAATGTGTTAGCACTAGTGGTAACAGTGGATCTGGTTCATCTTCCTCCTCTTCCGTAGGTTAGGAAGGCTCCAACAAATCTCCTGAGGGAAGGGGTGGTATGATTTCCCTACTGGCTCACACAGACTCTGGTTCTTGTGTATATGGGTCCCATGGTCCCCAATAAGGTCAATATGAGGGATTGAAAGTAGGCTGTGATGGTCACCAAGACGCAGAGTACCATTGGTCCAAGCGGGTGTCCCCACTTAACCAGATGAGACTGGAAGTAGGAGGCTCTCAATCCTCTGTCCAGACTGAACTCCCTCAGCGGAGAAGAAGATGGTTCCACTGGAACGTTAGACTCTCTGGAAGATAAGGTTGGGTCCGGTTCCATTGGTGGTACCAGTGTCAGGAAACCGTGGCTAGTGAATGGAATGGGAGATGAGATTCTCCCTGGCATTAGAATCTTGCTGGAGAGGGTCAGTCCCAACAACAAAGGGGATTGCGAGACCAGGAGGACAAAGATACAATACGGTGTGGGGTTAGACATTGGAGCCTTAGATGGCTGAGTCTTGTCGCCCCGTACCCTTGGAGTCTGCCTAATAAAGCTCTTAGTAATCTGTGGTTCCTTCCAAGGCTGTGACAGTATCACTGGTGTTAGAAATTCTGACCGCATGGTTATTGCCAGTACCAACAGTTCACAATATTTTGGCTCTCAGGGCTTTCTGTTAGTGGTACAGAGGTGTAGATGATGGGGGAGCAGTGCTGAAGAAGACTTGCTCTTATGTGCCTTTTGATCATGGTCATGAAGCTTACGAGGATCTAAGTCCTTGTGTCCTGGGTGAAAAAACTCATCCAACCTAGACATGATCAGGGAGGGATCCCTTCTCTTAGATCTAGGAAGGAATCCACTCTGATGTTTATGAAAGTGTCTCTTATTAAGGGTCCTTCGTTCAAGCTGTTACTGCTCCTGAATCAGACATAGAGCTAGAAAACACAATGCTCAACGTCTCAGGCTGATGTACAGGAGGATGGGTCTCGGTGGCCTGGATCCAACTGAGGCCTCATAACATGTTCCAGCAGGTGCTTCCCAAGCCAGAGTTCTCATGCCTGCCATGTTCTGCAAGGAAAGGAGCAGCTTATACCACACTTAGTGGAGACAGGAGCTTCTCTAAGGCAGCAGAGGCAACTCTGGTGGTTATTGCCGATCAAAAAGGAGCGGAGGGCAAGGGACACAATTCTTAAAGCCTGGGAGCCTGGGCATAATCCAAGTCCCACACCAATGAATCAGAGGTTTTCCCAGAATAGGGATCCTAATTAACTAACTACTTATCAAACTATGAAAACTATTAACAATAACTAACAATATAAAAAACAAATATTTACAGGAAAGACTGTCAAAGAGGATCAATTCCAGATACTGCAGTATTCTGACTCAGGCCATGTGGTCGTAAGAAGGAACTGGAGAGGCGTCAGTCGGGACTGCTAACTCTTTGGTATAGAGCACAAGGGGAACAACTGCGCAGATGCAGACCAGTGGACACCACTTGCTAGAAATCTAGTCTCAGGCACATGCATGCACACCCACAGTGGAATACACATAGGAACCCGCACTTGAAGTATTCAGCATTTATACTCCAGGGCAGTCAGTAGCAGCCAGAAGGCTATACTATGTGTGATGTATTTCACTCTCTCACAGACCAGCTGAAGGGCTTGTCTACACTTGAAATGCTACAGCAGCACAACTGCTGTAGCACTTCAGTGTAGACACTACCTACGCTGATCGGAGGGGTTCTCCCATCGGCGTAGGTTATCCACCTCCCCCAAGAGGCAGTAGCTAGGTCAGAGGAAGAATTCTTCCTTGACCCAGTGCTGTCTACACCAGGGATTAGGCCAGTTTAACATCACTCAGCAGTGTGGATTTTTCACACCCCTGAGCGATGTAGCTGGGTCGACCTAACATTTTAGTGTAGACTAGGCCGTACTAATGCAGATTATTCATCTAAGCACCATAGCCCTTCTGCTCTCACAGGCAGCACAGAACTTAAGAAATTATGAGTTGACTTACGAATGTTGAAATCATCCTTGTAATTTGAAGGAAAAGGCTTGGACTGAGGAGGATCTGGGTAAGTGCCTTTCCGGCCTGTCATGAGGGTAGTTAACGTGTAGACTTCATCCACATCCAGATTTAAACTGAACATCCCTTCATGTACCTGTAATGAAAGAAAGCACAAGCTAAAGAAATGCAAGAGGCAGCTAAAGTGATCACATCAGCAAGTGCCAAAATAATGCAGCATTGCCTTTAACTTTCCGAGTTAACACCAAAGCATACCGTGTTGCATCAGTAGGTCTAATTTCCCTATAGGTATGTTGAGCTTTACCCCCAAACTCTGTACTTCACTCCATCCTCCAGTTAACTGTATCACTGCAAACTACCTATAAACAAGCTAATGAGGCACAGCCCTGTTTGTCCATTCTGAGCATGAAAGACACCAGGGAGCTTACTGTGAAGAGGGGAGGCAGCAGTTGGCAGAACAGAGATCATCTGGAAACACTCATTTACAACAGAATTTAAGCAAGGTCACATACTATTGAGAACAGCTTTTTTGAGAAGTGGTATTTATCGAGGCAATCAGCACCCAGTCTGCAGAAGCTTCTCTGTATTCTCATGTTCCCATTACTTGGGATATAACAGATTCACTGGCAACAGGGGTCCCTCTTCCCACACATTACTTCTAAATGTGTGGAGAGAACATCATTACAGAGAAGCAGCAGGTCCTGAAGAGGACATTGGGTCGAGGCTGTGAAGATAGGATGTGGGGGGTCCCAGCCAGAGAAATATAAGGCCTTGACTCTGCAAATCCCTGAGCAACAGAGTGCAAGATTTATGCAGTCTAGCACAAATGCAAATGTCAGGGACACGTAGGTGGGTGTAAGCAAGTTTAAGTGTTGCACTGAACAGTAAAGGCTCAGATCCACTGTGCACCTACTCCAGTGCTCAAGTGTACAGGGTAAAAAGGGGCAAGACCAGGGGAAAGAACAGAGTTTCTTTCTGAGTAGATCATTATGCTAATGAATAACTTAGCTACATCCTCCTCTCTCAAGATTCACTCCAGCTACCATGAAAGAGTGATGTGGCAGCCATGCAGCAGGGCTCTCACTAACAAGAGTATCAATGTCACTTGAACTCAGCATCCTGCTCAGCACTTTATGATTACACAAGGAATACTGTACACCTACATCATGTGGTGTCAAGCCCAAAGAGCCAAATTCTTTTCTCACACTGGGGTACAGCTGAAGAAATTCCACTTTTTTACTTTGCACCTATACATGTAATGTTCCACAGCTGAGCTGGATAGGATTAAACCCCTAGTACATAAAATACAGAATGGCCAGAAGTCTTTGAACAAATCAGAGGTGTCAAAACCATTTTTATCTGTAAGCCAGGTTTTTCTTCCACTCCCCCATCAGTCACCCAGAACAACAAAATGGCAAGGGTTTGAGGTAGGGTGACCAGATGTCCCAATTTTATAGGGACAGTCCCAATATTTGGGACTTTTTCTTATATAGGCTATTACCCCCCACCCTCTGTCCTGATTTTTCACACTTGCTGTCTGGTCACCCTAGTTTGAGGAGAATTAACAGTGATCAGTAAGTAACAAACCCACCTTTACAGGAGGAAGAGGATGGAATAAGGTGGAATTTGCAGATTTGAAGCCAAGCTTAGTATACCACATTTTCAAGATTTTCACTTTATGCTAGGAAGAAACATTAAAAAAAAAAAAAACACTTTCATAAGATTCTTCTTTGGAAATACTGAGGATTTAAAGACATTTAAGTCTGTTTTAGTGAAACATGTTGGGTGGACAGCCCAAAAGACAACCATTATTTGCTTATCCACAGAACAGGTATAGCATGGGCAGTGGCAGCTCACAATTCCCTCACATCTGTGGGTCTCTGCCCCAGTACACAGGAACAGCTTTTATGAAGAGGGAATTCACTCTTAATAGCCCATTGAATCCTTGGCTTCCGTCAAGAATGCCAACAAGATGGCCAATTAGTGCCAACTGTGATGAAGGTTCTGATACAGACATCTACCTCCAGCAGCTGGGCTTAGATTGCCTCATTCATTTCATAGAGCTATCTGGATAACTAATTGATCACAAGTTTTGATCACTAGTGCCTGGGCCTAATTAGAACCACTGAATAACGCAGCTGATGCGTCCTAGCGCTACAGGAATGTGAGGGCAACTATAGTTCTATTACTTAAAAACAATCATTCAACAAAATTCTAGAGTTTGAATTTAGTCACAGTGAAGTTAGCAAGAGAAAAATCTAGAGTTAGAGACGTGGTGTGTACACTGTTCCTACAGGATATCTTATACAATTTTCCTGGCAAGCCATATGGCATAAGAGCAGTACCACTTGGGGCACTAAGGGAGGCTGTGTTCCAAGAGCAATGATTGAGGGCTGCTCGTAAGTCTTTTATTCCATTATTCCAGTGGTGACTGAGGCACTATTTGCCCCAGCAACACAGCAGCCTGTACAGCTGTGAAGGGAGAGGAACCAATCCTACTAGAAATTAAAACCTAAGAGCGTTCAAACACTTTCGCCTTCTGATAAGTAACTCCCCAAATCTGCCATTTAACAAAGACTAGTTACTGTGGCTATTGGAGCATGGCTCACGTTTTTCCCAGCTGAGCTGCACTCATCCACCCACCAAGAGGTATCCAGACTACCTTTTCATGGAGCAGAATGTTTAAGCTGAAACATAGTCCTCTCTTTTTCAGCAGAATAGCTACAGGAGGAGGTAACTGAAACTGTTTCACAGAAGAGGATTTGTCCCCATTAAGTGAGTGTTAAACATGCCCACAAGGGAGGGAGAAAGTAGTGGATTTCTCCTCTCCACGCCACCAAAAGTATTTTCAGGAAAACATTAAGGAAAAAACAGTAACATTCTTTGAATGCTTTTTGGAGTTGGGGGAATCAGTTTTTGGTAGGTGAAGGTGATCATAGTGTAACAAATCGTTCTTCTGTGAATACAATAATTATGTAAGTCTCTTATATACCTTATAGAATGAGAATGACAGTGCTCATCTTTCATCCCCCGAAGTATAGACCTCCACCACATAAGTTAAAGGAGAACTTTCAGCTTACAGTAGTAGTCAGTCCCTTATCCATTATGTGGCTACAATTTTAGAAGACAACATCACTCACATGCACAAAGCCAGTTCATTAAGCAGTGACATCTCATTTTGTTATAAGCCCAGTGTTCACGTATCAAACGATATGCAGCAGCCTGATGTCCCTGAATACATTTATATGATACATACACAAATATTTACTTACAAAGGATCCTTTGAGGTAGAAAGTTGCTTTCTGAGGTGACACAATGAAGGGAAGCAGTGGAGGCCTGATACACTGAGAGTGGCGATAAGTCTGGAAAGAAAATGAATGGAACAGATGGGAACATACATCACTGAAATCAGTCATTTGCCAATTTTGATGGGAGTCAAGATCTCCAAGTATGAGCCAAAAGCTATAAATATTAACAAAATGGTAACAAAAGGGATCAGATAAATTGGTTTGGTTCCAAGTTCACTGCTATTTTGGGGGTAATGGAAGTTAGAGTCAGAGAACAGTTCATATTTTTATTTGGGATGCTGCTTAAATCAGCAATGTGACAGGATGCCCAGGACTCCTTGCCAATCTACTGGAACTAAGGCAATTAAGGAGCTGGAGAAAGAACTGATCACACCCTTCACCAGTAGGACTAAAACACACAAAATTGATTTGCGTGAAGATGAGACCAAGTTAAATGAACTCTGCATCCAGATAATAAATCTTGCAGTAGTTTGATTTCTGCAGGAATGATGACCAAGATTTTCTGAAATGATGCTTTTTGGGTACCCAATTTGAGAAGCCTTAAACAAGCGTGATTTTCAGGGGTGAAGGGTTGCTCAGAACTCTCTGAAATCAGACCCCTTTAAAGTATCTCAAACTGGGCCCAAAAATCCCAAGTCACATTTAAAAAATCTTGGCTCTGATACTTCTTGCAAGACCTGCATGTGGCCCAGAAAGAAAAAAAAAAAAAAAAAAGCTTAAAAAATTCTAACACCTAGTCCTGCTTCATCTGTTGTTCCCTCTCACTATAAACTTTCTATCTTTTTCTGGGATATTCAAGCCCTCCGCCTGATTTTAAAATATTATGCCTACTCAATCAAGGAACTCACAATACCACATGACCAAGGCCCTTCATTTTCAGTTTTTAATTTATGTAAATCTTCCTGGGAATTTATCAGACTTTATTACAAAATTAAAAAAAAAAAACAAAAAAAAACCACACACAGGTGAAAAATCAGTGCAAAAATTAACTTTACACACAGTTTGCTGGGTGAATATTGGGGGCGGGAGGACAGAACAGCAACAAATAGAGAAAAGTAAAAGAGTATTGAAAGTAAAAGCAGTTTAATGCTATGGTTTATTTCATGAACTGTACATTAAATACACATATGCATGCACATGCATGTATATATATATATATCTTCTACGTTAACTTAATTTAATAGATAGATGTGTTTGTTAATAAGGTAGTCTAATATAATATACTGTATTTTCTTCACAATCAGCATTTTCATGTACTAACGTGATCCAAAATTCAGGTGAAAAAAGAAAGAAAGAAAATCACTAAAAGCCAGATAATACTGGAATAACCTGGGAATTTTTCAGTATAAAAAAGGCAGTAAACTGAAAATGAAGGGCCTTCCCCATGACCAACCACAACTAATCTTCCAAGACCCCCATCACCAGAGACTGGTGAGGAGGACTGTACTGACCCTCAAACCACCACTGAAGAGGCTGGTGGACATTAGTACTTGTTTAAAAAAACAAAAAAAACCCACACACATTATAAAATATGATAGAACATGCAGAGTAAATATTAGAAACAAATATTTCAAAGCCCAAAGATGCTACTGTATCTATACAGTAAAAAGGCTGGAAAGCTCTCGTTACATACTGAACTTGTTAATGTGATTTAAGAAGTAAAAGAATAAAGTGCCTATAAAGGCTAAAACTGTAGTAAATACTTTATTCATCTAACAGTTTTCTACTGCACTGTGTCACAAGTTAAGCCTGCGATACAAGACTGACACACACCCTGATTTCCAGGAAGATCTACATAGCTGTACCATCCAAGCACAGGCAGACAAGAGAAGGAGCTCTATTTGCTCTCCCTGGCAAAGCTGCAAGCGACACGTACATAATGAGTTTCTGCAAGACAATTTTTTTCAGAAAAATCCTCCTAAATCTCTACTGCTTTGTTGGTTATTGGAGAACATTACCATAGTTTCAATGATGATAGTAAGGTTGCCTAGGCCATCGGTCAGAGCTACATAGCTGCCACCGTCTTCCAAATGTCCATCCACCTGCAGGTAGTGCCAGCCAGGGTGGGTAAACTGGGTCGTGTGTGCTGTGCAATAGTGAAAAGAAACCAAAAAAAAAAAAAAAAAAAAAGGGTCAGCATTCATTCCAGGAAGGTCATCTTGCTACCATTTTGTAGCTTTGATGCCACTCGTTTTACAACCATACCACTTTACTTTGAGAGAAATCTCCATAGAATTTACAAGGCATGACTTCTGGCTAGTTAATTGGAAAGAGACCAAAGAATCAAGAAGGTGAGTATAGCTGATTCTTATGTCTGAACCCCTTGCTACATGATACATTTTTCTGTCTGCAGATGAATAGCAGAAGATCCAATATAGGGGAACTTCACATGATCCTGCCACATAGGGGAAGGGGCAGGTCACCAACTCTGCAGAGACAAGAAAAGGTTATGGGTGGACCAGAGGGTGGCCACTGGATACATATATACATAAGTTTTTATATACTAGACAGACAGTGCAAAGTGATGGTTTACAATCTCAACCATCACAAACAGAACATAGGAGTACTCCAGTTCTGTTTTCTTTTCCTCCCTCTCAGAACTCGAGTACCCAGATATTTTGCAGATAAAATAGAAAATAAAAATCAGGCACAGAGTCCTAGGTTTTACAGAGGTTTTAGCTCAAAGCCCCTTTTTTTTTAGAAACACAAAAATGTTACAAAACCCAAAAACAGTCGTTTGCGATGAAAACTGAGAGATCTTTAATAATGGGAGCCATGAACTACATTGATGTGATTCTTGTACGTGTGGCACAAGTCAGATCAGAGAACCAGATCTCATTCCCTGTAAGGATTTCTTCCTGCCCCCATTCTAGTTAAAATGATTAAGGGAGAGTCTTCCAGTTGCTAAGAAAGTAAAAATGTTCAATAAAAGTATCCAATAAAAAGTGAACATAAAAGAAAATTATTAAACACCAAAAATAGGGGACTTTGTACTACTTTAATTTAGCATAACAAAAACAACCCAGAGTATTGTATTGTCTATACTTTATAGGTCTATCTGAACTTTTTATTTACCTGTGATCCAGATGGGACCTTCCACTGCATAATAGCCACTCCATGGCTCTTGCGCTGTCATTAATCCATCTCGACCAAAGGGCAAAGCTTCATAATAACTAGCCACCAAATTCCAAGCAATGGTGCTGGAAAACAGTTTTGTTTTTAAAGTCACAATAGTTTTGAGTGCAGAGAATTTAACAAAATATTTCTGATAGTGCTGAGATTGAACACCCATGTGTGTCTGCATAAACTAAATATTCCAATGGAGCTCCTTCCTTTGGCAGATATTAAACAATGTTGATAAGAACAGATAGTAGATAATGTTTTCACCTCTCAGTGGTGGGACGTACAGAATGTGGCAGCTCTGCAGGTATCTGTGTTTCTATACTTGTGCACCTAAAGAAAGTTTAGGAAGACTAGCAAGACTAACTTGACTAGAAAGTATTGCAAGATCCTTAGTATCTGCAACTTGCACATCCTAACCTCAGTTGCAGTGGAGCCCTTAATTAAAGCATCCGTTTATCAATTTATGATATTTGCTCAATTCATCACATCAGGTCTTTGGGAAATTTGAAGAGGAAAAGTCAAGCACTTGGAGTTTATATATGAAGAACTTTTAAGGCTATAATATGGTTTTAAGCACTAGTGAAAAGAGCTAAATGAAGTAACTTGTGGAATGAACTCTTTTTACCCACACAAAACAGACAGCAGCAGCGCAACCTTTACCCCACATTGTCCTCTCAAGGAACCTCAGTCATTAAAGGAAAAGTTCTCAGTACACCAAAAAAGCATTAGTCTGATCAACTACTTTTGAAAAAATTAAAGAAACCCAAAAATCAAGAGAGCTTGTTAATAAAAAGATCCTACATCTTATTCTCAGATTGGTACATTTGCATGTATCAAATTACAGTCCCCATTTGTGATGGCATACATATCTAGTCGCTGCTGCGGGCAAACAATATAGTTATTCTTTTAGTACCCCCTGGTATGTGCCAGTACCTAATTCCCACAAGTGGTCATTATAACTGTGTGCCACTGTGCACCTGAATTTTTAAAAAGGGGTCCTAAAAAGTCGACAAAAGAGATGCTCAGAAGAAAACTTTTTGCTTTGTACACTAACCAACTTGTTCTATTTAAATTTTCAAGAGCTCCAGCTTGGCTAACAGGAACTACAGCAAATTTCAGTTCTAAGGCATGTAGATAATTAGATAGTAGCCTGTTTTCTGTAGAAAGGCCAACATGGTTTTATTATTCAATGGAAACCAGATATGGATCTGCTTGTAATACTTGATGAATATTGTGTGTTGATGTGGTTATTGGGATGTTTGCTGTATGAATATGTTGGTTTAGTTTAATAGAGGACTGTAAGGAAAAAACAAGCAGAAAGGGAAAAAGAATGACTCAAGATAAGACACTACTCAGCAAACACTTGATAGCTTTTTAGAGAGCATGCCATGACTAGAGCAGATTGGAAATCTTCCAGTGGATTGTTTTACTGTCTGAACATGCCAATTCATCGACAGTGAATCGTTTCAAAGGATAAGGCAGATTTTGACCAACTTCCATTTCAAAAACAATCATGAAGCATTTTGACATCAAAATGGAATGTTTTGAAATTTTAGGAACCAAACATTGATTTTTCATTTTGAGATTCCTTCTCATTTCAATATTTTATATTATAAACATTTTTTAATTTAAAATGTTGAAATCTGAACAAAACCTTTTGATCAATCCAACCTCTTTCTCCACCCACCCACCCCCCAATTTCATTTTGTGGGAAATTTCCAACTTTTTTGGTTTTATTGTTTTTCAGAACAGACTTTCCCACAAAACAGTTCGCACCCGCCTCTAGCCAAGACAGGAAAAGGCCTGGGAACCAGAAAATCAAAAGAAAAGAACTGTGGCAGATTTAAAACAGAAAAATCTCTCAGGGGGGTTAGGGAGGGGCGTAAGGGGGAGTTGTTCAGCAGAACCAGATGAAAATGCAGGTACCTGCTGGAGTATGTCAAGTTAGGCCTCCCTAGGTTATCATCAGGGGATGGTAAGCCTTTAGATCAGACAGATGTGTGTTGATTGTTGCTATAAAATCCTCCTCTCTCTCTCTCTCTCATGTGTTTTCCTACTCCAAAACATACACTTTTCTCTTAAGGATGCTATTTTGTCACCACTGTCAGACCCCCAAAGGAAAGAATCACAGCTGTCCAAACTCAGCTGGACCTGCTGGGTAATCATGGTTGAAACACAGGATACTGTGGCCCACAGTCTGGTCTAAAAGTGGTCAAACTGTGGAATTCCAGCCAGAAGTAGTAAAGGCACAAGGCCTGTCACCTGAGGGGTGCACTCAAAGAGACCAGAGAAGTACAGATAGCCTTGTAACCATGACACTATGCTGAAGTTATGGAAATAACTGACTGCATGCAAGACTTACGAGGTCATATTTCCATTCACATAGTTCTGGTTCAGGATCCGAGCCCAGCAGCCTGCACCCACTTCATCATTGAAAGTGCTATAGTCTTCTGAAGCCCACAGTTTCTTCTGAGTTGCTAAGGCACTAGCCACTGTTTTTGTTCCAGGGTAATGAGCCCTGGATAGTATTTCAAAAAAAGGACAGCACTTAACACAAGAAAAGCAGGAGAACTCAAGACACATTCAATTATTAGCTCAAAGCACAAACAAAATGACTGGTGCCAAAAAAAAAAAAGTCATATGTGGATTTCACTCCAGAGAATCGTACTAGTTAGATCCAGAAGAGAGCTACAATATTTAATAATTTAGCCCCATCTGTGCCAATGAAGGATTTTTCCTTATAATGTATTCTGATGCTTTAGCAAGTCTAGTTTTAAATATCAAATGCAAATCAGGCTTTTTATTCCATATCCCAGGGTGCACATTTTTTCCTGATATTCAGCATTAGTGCCCTCATACTTTTATCCCATTGCTGCTAATTATACCACCTTGTACCACCCTAAATAAATCCTCTCCTGGGTTTTTATGACTTTCACATACTTACGGATTAATAATGCTGCTTAGCACTGGGTATCTTCAAAGCCCTATACATACAATGAGATCTCCCCTTAGTCATCATTTAACCAAGCTATTTATGCTTACTCTTATACTCTTTCCTCAGAAATCAAATCTTTGAATTTTCAGCAAGTATGTTGTTAAAGCCAAAAAGAAAAAGCATTGAAAGTTTGGAGCAGCTGCAATAAACTGAGGTTATGTACAGAATATGATAGGAGTTCTGCTTATTTCTCTTTGCCAGATCTTTCCTACCCCAATGGAGATATTTGTTCTCAAAGAAGACCTTTTGTGCTCAAACTGGTTTGGTTACCACTGATTCACTAATACAATTTCGTCTTACAACAGTTTCAAAGGCTCTTTTTCAGACAATAAGGGGCATTTTTAGTTTTCCCTCAGATAACAGAGTAACCAACAAGGAAGCAAACTTAACTACACACTGAAAACAAAACCATAAACTCTATAGATAGAGGGCTGAGAAGGGTCCTTAATATTAGTCTAATATAGAGGCAGGAGGAACCTTGCTGATTTGTGGGCAAGGGAAGGGAATAATATTTCTAAAACAAAGAAGAAAGAATTCAACTAAGTGATCTGTTTTCCTTTAAGAGGAGTATGGACCATCTCCAAATACGGTACTCATTCACGTATAGCTTTACTAAGCTAATAAAGGCATAATACAGTGCTCATAAATACGTTGAATATTCATCCCTCTGCTGTTAGGCTTACTGTATACACGTTCAACTCTTTTTGGTTTGGAAGCAAAAATGTAAGTGACTAAAATTAACTTTGATGCTTCAGTGATTAGATGAAAAGCATAGTTTGTAGAGACAGATGTAAAGCAGAGAGGGAGTAAATGTGCACTTCTATGCCCCTCTCTCTTGAAGGCTCTCAAAATGCTTTACAAACATTAATTATTACTCAGCACCCCTGGCAGATACTATCCCCATTTCACAGAAGAGGGGGGAAAAAGATGCAAAGTGAGTTGCTCAAGATCACGCAGGAATGCAATGTAATAAAACAGAAGCCTGGGTATTGGTTTTAACTACAAAGACCAAGGTGTGTGTGTGTGTGTGTGTGTGTGTGTGTGTGTGTGTGTGTGTGTG